GGGTGTTCATTAGAGTCATAATGACCCTGATAGCTGATGAGTTAAGACTCTCTTACATCTAAAAATGCCTCCTTAAATCTAAGCTAAGATCTCAGTTCATCTTTACTGCTACTCCTGTCCTCCCTCTGAAAAGGAGTGTCTATAGGCAAGTCTAATTAGCAGTCACAGAAAGGACAGAGCTACAACAAAGCTTTGAACCAGCTGACTGCAACAGCTTCAGATGTTTGTGCTTAGCACAGAGTAATTCTGCACTGGGGCTGCAGGGAAGCTGCACACAGTAGACAAGGTAGGAGGAGTGGATAAGACTCAACAGCGTCAACACTCAGAAGTTAAATTTTGATGTCTTCACTTTGCTTTCTTTTTGGATGAAAAAATTTGTATTGCTGAAGTTCTTAATCCAGTGTTCTTACTCTTGCTTATTTTGACTGTTTTGATCCTAGAAGAACATTAGCAGGTCAGACATACAGTCAGTCTGGTCCAAAGAATTAAAAACACCGCGGAAAGATTCAGTGTACAAAAGAATGCAGCAGATAGTCCTAATATTGCATTATACAAAGATCACTTGTTATAAAATGAATAAAGAAGAAAATGCCACCACCCAGATTTTGTAGCTTTCCACAAAGTTCCAATTAGAACCATGATATAAGGGACAATAACTTACTATTTGTCACAGTAATTTGTGAGAGTGTTATGAACTTAAGGCATTTTGGGCAGGGCACGAAGAATGGAAAATCTTAGCTAAATGAAATAATGATCTCCTTTCATTTAGCTTACTGTGCAAACACTTCTGTAATCAGAAGCTGCCTTAGTCAGTTTACCAAGTCAGGGGATCAGGCATGTGTGATGGGATGTGCAGTCATAAAATAAGAGGTGATTGCTACAAACATGATAAACTGTGCAGGTTTCAGGCTTCTAAAAAGTTTTATTTTCATTCTCTGACAGCAGAACATGTAGTTGCTGTTCAAATGTAAACTTACTACAGACTTCCCACAGGAAGGAGGCCCTAATGTGGGAGAACCGCCTTTTTAGCTTGATTTAACCCAGGTTTTTCCAAATAGCAGCCATCTGAAAATATTTACTTATTTCAGACTCTGTAGAGCCCTGAGGCAGTGGGAACTGTTGAGAAGAGTCCCCAGAAAAGGAAAAGAAGTCTGGTCCTAAGGGTCCAGGATGTGCAATCTGCTAATTAATGAAGCTTTATGCAGCATTTCTGCACAACTGTAGGTGAAGTTTAATTATATTAAAGGATAGCAAATCACTGACCCAATTACATATGGCTGAAAACAAGGACTGGACACAATATTTTGCAACTTCTGCTGTGTGGAAGGTGCACATCCCTCATTTTCAATTTGGATTTCAGGTATATGAGAATGAGCAGGGTAATCATGATCCAGACAAAAGGCTGGATCACCTGAAAACTTAGTTGCAGGGTTGGCAAACTGGCCTGAAGACAAAGGTTCTGTAAGCAGCAAGAGAACTAAAGACTAGAGTCCTTTGAACTTGTATCTACTGACTGACTTCAAGTATGTTAAAGGAAAGATGTAACTTTAGTCTAGTCCTTCTTGTATATCAAATGATCTCTGTAGGATGCAGTAATTTTCTTTATCTTTGAAAAAAAATCTCTGTGCAGCTTGTGTAATTTTCTATAAATAAGAAAGATTTGCATCCTTTTCTAGATAATAGATCTTATAACATCTTGTTCTAGTTTTATGATTCTTTTTAGCCTTTCTTTCAATGAAGACAACAGAAGTCTCTCTTCTCTGACCAGCTGCCTGTTTGCATGGTAGGAATTTGCAGTCTCTGAGACTGCATGCTAAATCTGGCTGCAGCTGATGAATGGTTTTAAAAGCTTTTCTGTGGGAAGGTGGGTGTAGGCAGTGTGTCCTGGCACAAGCCTTTCCTTCTCTGGAATTGTAGGCCTCTGTATAGGAAGCCTATCTAAGACAGATGTTACAAAAACTGTTCACTGTATATTCACCTGCAAAACACTCTGACACATTTCTGTAATTCATGGCCATGGCTATAGAAACACAAGCCAATCATCACTTCTGACATCTTAATTGTTACTTGGCTTAATATCTCTACAGGGACTTAACTTTGCAGAGTGCAGATGTTCCTAACTCAGAAATGGGCCTCCTGAAGATGATCTCAAGCTGAACAAGTCAACTAACTTTTACATTTCTTAAACTCTCTGGAGGCCCACTTCAAGTGTGGGTCAAGTCCTGCAAGACAGCAAAGATCTCCTGGAAGTTGTTCAGTTCTTTCTGAACTTACTGTCTTGAAGGGTTAGATGGAACTGATTGCTCAGGCAAATTAAATCAGTAAGCTTTGCCAGATCAGTGTGAGATAGAAAAGGGACACAAGTGCTCATCAAGTAAAGCACATATCAAGTGCTCATCAAGTAACTCCAGTGCAGCTGAGTTTGCTGTTTCCCTTTTGCAGCTATTTGCACTCCACAGAGAGGCTTAGGTTGGCATAACTAGCCTGTTCCAAATCTTGCCTTTGTGCACCTAATGGTTTTTTGCTCCCTTTGCATTACCTTTCTTGTCCTGTATTTCTTGACAACTGCAACACTTCTGTGTTTCTCTAGCTTTAGGCTGCCTACAGAAGACTTCAGTCATTCCTTCATATATACACATATTTCTGAGAAGCCTGAAAGCAAGTGTAAGGGTTTGGGGATCACTCATACATACAAATGACTTTGAAGCAAGGTTGTCTTTCCCTCCTGCAGTTAAACAAAACCAGTGTCTAGACTGAAAATGTACAGCACCCATGAGCTGTCCTGTTTAAAAATATGAAGCTCTCAGCATGGTGTAATACTGTGCTTGTTTCTAAACTTGGTTGTTGATTTTCATGCCAGGAGTTATAGATGAACCTGTGAATGTCAGCACTTGTCCCAGCCTAGCTCTAGTTTTTACATTACAAAGCATTACATTTTGCCAAGAGTAGAGTGAGTTTCAATTTACTGCAAACATTTTTGTGGAAAGGCAATTAAATACTACCAGTTGCTTCACATACCATACAGCCTTTTCACTGGCAATGTGAGGTATTTTAATCCCTGAAACAGTCTCCTTGGATAAGTGTTTTAAAATCTTTGCAGCTCTCTGAGTTATTATATTTTACAGAATTCTTGAACTAAGATATACATAGAAGCAGTAGTATGTAAGCAGCTTTCAAGTGGTACATGATTTGCCATAATGCCAGGGATGCTTCTGCCAGCTGTTGTTTTGGTTGACAACAGCACCTGACAAAAAGTAATTTGGGTTGCCTTCCCCTCCAGCTCTTTAACCATGGATAAAGACTCCTTTTGAGTCAGGGATTTCTTTACATACTGCAAAGGGCCTAAAGGCCTTGCTAAAACATATCCTTAATTTTACAAGCACAAGTGTTTTTCAAAATGTTAACCTTCTGATAGCTTATCACAGTTTACCAGCTCCAACACCATTTCTAATAACTCTATGTGTAAATCTCTCTGTCACTTTAAATTCCTTTGGTAAACAGAAAACATGGAATTAGATTAGTAACTTCCTGCTTCCTTTATTAAGCTATGCAGTGAGATTTTTCCAATCAATTTCTTTTGCAATAAGTAAAAAAATACAGTAACTAACACAGTGGTGTAGCAAAGTGATTACTAAATAGTTACATTTTTGTCTCCTCGTGTAAACAAAACTTGACTATTACCACTGCCCCAAGCAAAACCGCTGTAGAAAGAATAGCATGCCACCTTCTCCCCACTCTCAGTTTTATCTCCAGTTTTCAGAATAGGCTTGAAAAACAGCAACTGCAAAAAAAAACTACTTCTGTTGTCTTGCACACTAAACTGTTTGAAAAGTCCAGCAAGAGAGCAGCTTTTGATCTGAGAGGAGCTGACCAGTACTATTGAAGCAAATGAGATCACATTACTCACAGCAGCCTCTCTAAACATTAAAAATACCACAAACATTAAAAAGCCTCTTTAGAATTAGCCATGCACTTCACAGAGGGTTTTAAAAAGAGTCTTCTTACAAATATTCTTGTAAATATCTGTTTCCTTACATATCTGTGTGTATATATGTTACTACTAAATTATGAAAAATACCTTGTAATGCACTAGTTTTTACATGTTTCATTTAAGCATTTTAAACCTCATAAAATATTAATTTGAAGTTCTTCTAAACTAGTACCTTTTAAAAAAGCCTCAAGTTTAGATTACTGACTCAAGATGACAACAACTCTAGCAAAAAGCCAGCTGTAAACAAAATTTTTCGTACAAAATTGTAAGACTTTAAGGTAGGAGACCAGTGCACTACCTTTTGTGTTAACACAAAACTTTCTTGATTTAATATTTCCATTGTAGTTCTACCATCTGACAACCCTGAATGCTTCTGACTTGTTTAACTATGTGGAATATTTTTAAATAAATGTAATTAGCATAAGAGTGCAGTTTTCTGAACACTTGAAAAAGCTATTAAAGTGCTGAGGAATTGCTATTTCAGCAGTGATGCTTTTTGTCATTAGATGAGATAATTAGTGTCAGTCAGCCAAAGACTAAATAAATATGCATTGTAGCCCAAAAGTCCACGTAAGCACAAGAACTGAATCTGTATATATTTGTGCTGGTCTGAACCTGTCTGTGCCAGACTGGTCACACCATTTTAGAAGCAAGTCCAGCCAACAGGATAACCAGGCTTTCAGGCATAGTTTGTGCTGCCGCAATCCTGAAGAGATACTATCAGGAAGCAGCGATCTTGTTTTTGCTAGCTCTGCCAGCATAACAAGGGAGTGACTCTGAAGGTACTTGCAAACTTTGAGAGGGAAAACTGGTATTTGCTATTCTAATTCACCAGCAGTGCAACCTGTTCTCTCCTGATGTATTGCTGCTATATTTGATTTAAAATTAAAAATAGCTTTCCTGTGAATTGTAAACCTAAGCTTACGTATGAGATGCGGTCTGCATATTCCAAGGGCTTTTACGATGCGGATTAGCAAGTTCTCATTTAATTAAAATTTTCTGTACCTACCAAATCTGGTTGCCGTTTGTAGGTCAGAGGAAGAGAGTAAAGTATGGAGTACAGTGTTGTTACCACGGAGGAGCTCCAGGACTGCCTAACCTCGCGGCTTCGGGGAATGCGCTCAAGGCTGAACTGGAAAAGAGCACGGGGAGCGGAGCTGTTACTTTGCTGAGAATGTGCCTACTCATTAAGTCTCTGCCAGCCTTTTCCCCCTGTCCTTAGTCTGGTTTGGGGACGTTTGTGTACAAAACGCGTGCAGTACAAAGCACAGCGAGGCGCCGGCGCTCGGCACTGCCGCCCGGCCCCGCAGAAGCGGCGGGCGAGGGCGGCACCTGGCGGCGTTGCCGGGGCGCGCCGGCCCCCGCGGCCCTCCGCGGGAACGCCGCGCCGGGCTCGCCGCTGTGCCCGAGAGCCCGCCGTCGTGCACGAGCAAACAGCGCCCCTCAAATAGTGCTCCGAGTGTCCAAGAGGTACGCGCGATGCACGCTCCAAACGCAGAATAGCTGTGGAAAGAAACGGGAAAGAACATCTCGTCATTAAATAAAAAATAGGTAAAGAAGTAACTTTCTTGGTTCTTTCTCAAAATGAAGATTATTCACGGTGTGTAAACGGTATCATAATTAATAAAGCAAGGAGGATTCCTTTTGTCTTGAAACCCCGGGGGCAGGTGTTAGGCTGCCTGCCCTCCTTGCAGGTGCCTTTAGGGTCAGTGGAGAGGAGCTGCACCTAAGAATTATTGCTATGGCACGAGGCACTCCTGATGCCAAGGATATTTTGGACTCTTTAAATGAAAGACAAATGTAGTGGCTGCAGTACAGTGCTCATGTGGATAGTGGTTGTTACCTCACTTCACATGGGACACAGATCACCTCACCACGACCCTGGAGGAACTTACTTGTCGTGTGTGAAACTCTAAAATACTGAAAATTGCCCAGTTACTTCATGTGCACATTGCTTATTGTCATGGTTTAGTCCTGGTGATTTGTGCCCCTGAAAGAGGATGTTAACAAAAGTTGTATGGTAAATACAAGCTACAAATCTGTCTTGAATAGTAGTAACTGGGACTATTTTTAATATATAAGGTGGAAAGAATAAAAAAAAAAACAACAAACCAACACTTGTAAATGCAGAATGTTAATTTTCTTGACTGAGATTATCCTGTTTCACTGTGATATCTTTTTTTAATAGCTGTGATACTGGAAGGCATTAACAGATGTTACAAACTGATTTTTTTAATGTTTTATTTCCAGGTGTTGAAACTCTGATTGCATTACTCTGACAACATAATATGGAAAAATAAACATACCCCACTGCTCCCTATTCAACAGGTATCTGGTTATCACTTGCCTCTGTTTCTCAAAGCTTTGGGAGTGTTCAGGTGATAAAAAGAAATGCTCTAAGTGGAGTTTAGACACTTGTATAGCGCTCAGCCCTGCAAGAAATATGGGTATGATAAAGTGATTTTAGGCAGATCAGGGTCCAGTGGAGCTATTCAGATGAACCTTCACTGTAAGAATGGTGTTAAGGAGCATTTGACACGAAAAACGTACGTGATTTTCACCATCATTAAAAATTCCAAATAATTTCAGCAGAACTTGGTAGGAACTCCAAACAGTATCAAAGTAGGAATTTACTTGGAGAGTTCAAGTAATTTCATCTATACTTTTCAAAAAACGTGGGAAACTCTGCACATCAGTGTCTATGTCATGTTAGGACTTCAGTCCACACATCAAACAACTCCTAGATATTAAAATGAAAAAGGAAAACTGGGGAGTTTTGTTGTTGTTTCTTTGTATAAAAGTCACTGCCAGATGCTTCTGTAATTCCAGCCTCTCATCTCATTAAGTACTGTCAATGTTCCAAAGGTACATCCTGTATATTTTGCTGGAACACTGCATAATATGTCTGACACCAGAAAAATATTTCTCCCCTATTTACTATAGTGTCATATTGTTGCATCTTTGTTTTCTTTACATCTTTAATGCACTCAGAATGTTTTTTCTAATTTGAAAACAAATGTTCCAAACTGGCAAATCTGTAATGTAATTTCAAAACCAGTGATGTAGTCCTTTACCTAATTAATGTTATTTTGCAAGGATGCAAGGCAAAGCTGGTGGGAAACTGCAATCCCTGTGAATTATTATAATATTCTCAACTGAACATACTGCAATGCTTGCAAAGAAACTGACTTTACATAATTCTTTTTCATTATGAGAAATAAGATTTCTTAGCATAGTACCTCTCATGAAATGGAAAAGAACATATGGTCAGAAGAGGTCTATCTAAAGGTTAGTTAGTCTGGTTGCTCATCTCAGACATGACCATGGGGGTATAGGATTCATGTTCTTCAATAAATTGTCTCTGCTGCTGGAGCATGTTGCCAGCAGCTGAAACAGGTTCTCTATGAGCATAGAAGGTTCCCTGAGTAACAGCTCTGGGGGCATCCACGTGGAATAGTTGTGGTTACAGGTGGGGAGTGATAGAGAACAAAGAGGCCAGTGATAGCAGGACCAGAGACTTTTCATAGGAGGCATTTTTTAGTTCTTTTTTAAGAGGCTTAGTGGGTTGAGGTGCAGCATTTTTCTTCTTGTAAGCAAGATGCTCATTCTGGCTTTCTTTCCTTCTCCCTGAATAGCTGTTGGAACAGAGCTAGGCCACAGATCAAAAAGAAAAAATATTTGGAGGGGTGGGAGGTGTGTGTGTTTAATTTTCTCTTACATCACTAGTTTTCTGTTACATCATTATTGTAATTTGTCTTCCATCTGGTCCCTAGTTCTGGAAAAATCTACTTCCTTAACAGGATGGGGAAGGGAATGACCATGTGTTGAAGCATTCAGACTTCTCCCTTTCACTTATGCAAAGGTTCAAGTAGCTACTAAGACATAATTTTTAAATGTTTGATAATCTCCAGTGTCCCCAGTAACAAAACACACACTGTGTGTGTGTGAAAGCATGATTTAAAATTTAGCGAATGTGTGTTACAGGCATGTGAGATTTACTTTCCAAAATTTATCCTTCATTTTTACTCTAAATACTTTTGCTCAGTAGGAGACTGGTCAAAGGAAAATGAGCATCTGTTATCCAGACATCAAACTCACATGCAGCCAAAAATTCTCCTCTGGCTTTCAGTGTTGAGGGAAAATATAACTACAGGATCTGTTAGTAGTTGGAGGGGTTATAAAAGAGAAGATGCATAGCAAAAATAAGTGAGCCATGAAAACCACATAACCTTTTAATACTGAAAATATGTATCTTTAAGAAATCTAATAATTTAGGGTTGGACAGTCTTCAGGTGATTGTGTGAATGGCTGTTTACCCAACAAGAAGTCTCTGAACAGGAAATGGCTCTGGTTGCTTTATTAAGTATTCATCCTTGGTGCACAATGAGGCATGAAAGTTGCAGTAAGCAAAAATGTCATTCCTTAGTGAGTCTGTGGTTCTCCTTAGTGGAGTTGCCTTACATTAAAAGGGTTTATTCTGAAAATCACTGGTACTGAGTCCTACAGTCTTTTGTCCCAACAGTGCTGCTGAAAACAATGGAAGTGCACCATATGAAATCAACACCATGCAAATAATTAATGTACTGTGTGTTGTACTATTTGCTCAAAAAGACTTAAAATTTTTGTAGTCAGAACATTCATTTCCACTGTACTTATTCCACTAATACTTTCTACTAATTTCACTGGATGTCAGGTCACACTTTAGGTCAGCTGTCTGTTAATCATACAGCAAACGAGCTGAAAGCAAGCAAACATCTGAGAAAAGAATAAACAAGACATTTCAATGATTTTTTCATGTGTTTTAGAAGTTCAGCATTTGTTCAGGTCATCAGCCAGAAAACTGACAATCAGAGGCCTTGCATCCCTTTTAAACAAACATTTAATACTTTATTTTAAAAATACAACCATGACACAGTTTAGAAACACAGAAAGCCAGTGCAATTTAAATTAAGGTTTTCTTAGCTAAAATATTTTTACATATAATTTCTTTCAAAAAATACTGTATGTCACTGAGGGAAGTGCCAAACTAATAAAAAAAATCCCCTCTGCAATATTTTTGCCCCAGTATTCTTACAGCTACAGGTAATACTTCAGTGGCTAGCTGGTAAAAATGTCCTTGCAAAGAATCATTACCAAATTGCCTTGAATTAGAATGTCAAGATCATTTTTCTTATATGAGTATTTAAAAAGTTACCTGGGACTCGGAGAATGTTTCAGCCCTTTTTTGTTCAAAAGAACGTATTTTAGCTTCACTCATCTTATCTGAGTCTGCCAAAACATAATGTCTAGGAGAATATGACTCTGACAAACAGCTAAGTAACCTCAGGATTTCTGTTGTGTGTCCTCCTGTAAAACAAAACAAACTGCAATCAGTATATGAAAAATTTTGTAACTTTCCATTTCTCCAGCTGAATCAGTCACTTTTCATTTTAAAGCATAATAGTATTACTACTACCAGAGAGGAAGTATCTTCTGAGAGTAAAGGATTTAATTAGAGGATGGCTGAGACTGTTTAATCACACGGAGGGAACTCGGCTCCCAGGGAAGGGCTATTGATGGACGTTTTCCAGTGAAATGGGATTGAGCCAGGGTCACACAGGAGTCTGACGTTTGTGTTTAATGTCCTGTACACAGTGCAGAACAACTGGGCACAGAGTGACACTGCTCTGCACTCAGAGGCCACCCCATGGGCGATGGCCAAAATGCAGCTGGGCAGGACCTGGCTCAGAGCTGCACCTTGGAATCAGAGCTGACCCCTCCTTTGCCCAGTGCTGTGAGCTGCCAGGGCAGGGGTGTGCAACCCCAGCTCGTCACAGCAAAACCAGCCAGGCAGCAGTGCCACCCTGCAGCCACAGCGGTGTCACTGTGCAGCCACAGCCGTGTCACCGTGCAGCCACAGCGGTGTCACCCTGCAGCCACAGCGGTGTCACCCTGCAGCCACAGCAGTGTCACCGTGCAGCCAAAGCGGTGTCACCCTGCAGTCACAGCGGTGTCACCGTGCAGCCACAGCGGTGTCACCGTGCAGCCACAGCAGTGTCACCCTGCAGTCACAGCAGTGTCACCCTGCAGTCACAGCAGTGTCCCCCTGCAGTCACAGTGGTGCCACCGTGCAGTCACAGCAGTGTCACCGTGCAGCCACAGCCGTGTCACCTGCAGTCACAGTGGTGTAGCTGCTGGGTGCTGACAGAACAAGCAGTCCTGCTTCAGCAACTGCTCTGCCCTTGAACAGCCTTCACAGCCTTCTAACTGCAGGGTCACTGTGTCCTGGGGCTAAACTGGCACTAAAGAGAGAAGGGGAGCGTGCACATACTGGGCTTTTTGACAGCTGGGTAAATTTTGGGGTTTTTTGTCATTTTAGTTTCCTGAAAAGCAGTTAGAGGGATACTGTTAGAGTGGAAGGGTAGGAGAAGGAAGATTGTGTAGGTCAAGTGGAGCAATCTCACCTTTTATCTGTTGGACTGCATCAGACCAACATGAAACCACATGCAGAAATACATAACCAAAACCAGTAAACTCCATGTATTCCTGCTACCTCCTGCTGTTCAGTGTCACTAGGCTCCCAAGAGACCTTTGTTGCACCGGTTAAACACTCATAGCTGGTGAACAACTGACAACAAGGAGAGCTGCAGCATTGCACTACACTTTGCCACCTTTCTGTACTATTTCATGTGGTATTTTTCAAATACGTTTGAAGATATTTTCACCTGAGTGGTGTTTGTAAAGGTTTCATACATTTTAATGCGATCAGCTGAGCGCTCACAGAAGAGCAGGAGATTTCTACTTAAAAGTCTCAAAGAATAGGCTTGAACACGACGTAAATCTTAACTGACATGTATTATTTCACCCAGTAAGCTGATGTACAGTGGAAGTATTCTTTTAATACAGGCTAACTAGATTCCAGAGGACTAAAAGAAAATACACACATTTCCAGCCTTAGTGGATTTAAAGATGACCTGAAGAATTATAATAAACCTGCCAGTAAAACTCAGATGCAGAAAGATCTCGGGATTATTACTTAATTAGTTGATGTGCAAAAACCAAAGGGATACTGAGGTGCTGAAATCACAGCTGGCCTGTATTTGTCAACTGCAAATTTTCAAATAATTTTTTTTTTAGGTAAATGAATTGCCCTCCAACTCATAACAAGGCAAAAAGGAGTAGCAGATGTGTACGTCCCGCACGTGTGACTCCTGTAAGTAAATCACAACGTGGGCTGGTTGATTGCGAAGTGCCACGCATGCAAGGGGCGTGCCCGGCTTCGGAACGCCGTGCCCGGATCGCCATCGGCCGTGCTCAGCCAGAAGAGCGAGCAGCTGCACGGGCCAGTCCTGCACCCGTGCGCCACAGGGACTCAGATCCAGGCCCAACACGCCCAAGCCAGGCGGGGCCCCGGGGACACCCGGCCCGGCCCGGCCCGGCCCGGCCCGGGGCACCTCAGCAGCTGCTGGGGGCGCCCGGCACCGGCTCCTGACACACGCACCCGCGACTACAACTCCCGGCATGCACCAGGGTAGACGGGCAGCCTCGCGCTGGCTGGTCGCGCTGCATGCCGGGTCTCGTAGTTCCAGGAATCCAGGAGCGGCAAATCTACGGTACCACCCGCTCCCGCCGGCGGGACCCCCACTCACCAGAGCCGGCCACCACCAGGAGACTGAACGGAGGCGTCCGCCGGCCGCGGCGCCTCCTATGCAGGAGCACCAGCGGGACAAGCAGTAAGGAGAGGAGGAGGAGCAGGAGCACGACGACGGGCAGCTCCTCCATGCGCGCCGGGGGCCACCTTTCGCGGAAGCGGCAGAGACACCTCCCCCGTACGGCGGCCGGCGCGGTCCAAACCTCCGCGCGCTCTGAGCGCGGTGGTGGCTCCGGGGGGGACCGGGGGTGACCGGGGCCGCGGGCGGGCGGGGCTCGGCGGGCCCGGGGCGCGGTGGTGCGGCGTGAGGGGCTCCCCGTGTGCCCGCCCGGTGCTCCCCGCGCCTCCCAGCACCCGCTGGCATCTGCGGCTCCCCCGCCGGCGTCCCGGAGCTGCGGAATACCGAGCCGAGCCTGCCCGCCGGGCACGGGCTGCGGGAGCCGGGGGCTCCGTGGCTCGCAGGGATTCCTGCGGGACCATGAATATGCGTATGAATATGGATATGCATATGAATATGCATATGCACTGATGCCGATCCAGGTATGTGTGCTTACATGCAGCTGTAATGTTACACAGCCTACAGTAATGCATAAAATAAAGAACATTAACGTTTCACTGCCTGTCGTGGTTCTAGTTTTCATTCATGGTAATACTTAAGCTTTTCATTTCAGCAAGAAGCGTGGAGCAGTGGATCAGCGCTCTTTCTGCCTCAGTCAGCATCCAGCCTTTGTTGGGAGAAAGCGATGATTCAGCCTCTGGGCTGATCTCAGATGTGGCGTGTGTTTGCTAGAAAGAGTAAGCTCCTGCATTTTACGATTAGGAAAGAGTTTGTTCATAATTGTCTTTAAATTACCTGCCAGGGAGCAAGGCCCTTCTCTTGGCCCGTGAATCGGGAGCAGTGAACTCTGGAGCTTTATGGAGAGTTTGATGCTGCTGCTTTGTGGGGTGAGTTGTCGAACACATGAAACGTGACAGCTGTGCACTTGTACCTCAAGTGTACAACCACAACACATCAAACACAGTGCAATTCTGCATCTGCCTGCCATGGTTTCTCTGGCTGTTTTTTCCCCCCTCTTACTCCTGAACAAATTGGACTTTTTGTATCCCTACCAGCCTTGGAAACTTAATATTTCTCTCTCATTTTTAACAAAGATTTGTGGATTCCAATGGTTATTGTATGTCTTACGAGTAAAAGATACAAGCTCCACCAATCCTTCGGCATCTTAGGATCTGAAGTGAGTCTTTGTGATTCATGCTTCACAGCTCTACAGATTATGCTTTTTTCTTTATGTTACGGTAACATATAATTTTGCACATGCTTTAAGCAGAGAGTATTAAAAACAGTATTACCATGGTAAGCTTCTCTTCCACCCAAATGAGTAACCTCACAAAATTATCTCACTGCCTAGTCATTACTGACATGTGGAAGCAACAAGGTTTTAATTAAAAGTTCTTTGGATGATGCATAAATTTCCAAAATTCACTTTGATTTCCATTTAATTAGCTATGTAAAACTAATAAGTAGGGACAATAGAAGTGCAAGTCAATGACAGAAGAAAGTACTAGAATACCTTTTCAGACATAAACTACTAGGTTAAAACAAGACAGTAAATTCTATAGACAATTCAAATACTAATTTTGTCTATGGTCATCTTTTCCCCACTTGTAGTCTCTTCAATGAAAATAAACGATGTAGAATTTATCCCAGTTGCCACAGCAGGTGTAGCTAGCAATTGTTTTATTTAAGGTGGGTTTTTTTCAAGACTTCTCAAGATCTTTTCTCTTCTTTTTTCCTACTATAAATGTTAAAGAACTGCTTTTTATTAGGCATTTGATTACAAGAAACAGTCCTGGAAACTCAGCAGTAGATATTAATATAAAAAGTTTCAACTTCTTTTCTCCTTTTCATGGTATTTATTCTATATATACATACTTTCCCTTCTAATACAGAATTCTTGTGTAAATGCATTTGGTGAAATTAATGAGAAACTGACCTAAAACCAGGGAAGTTGGAAGGCATTTAAAAATAAGAGGAAAAAATTAGAGTGATGCAGACCTGTTATTTGGAGTAGACAGTTTCTTGGATGCAAAGGTTTTAACTTTCAAGGAGTCTAAAAATCTAAGCAGTGAGTTTGCCTCATAAACTCCTACAGCTTGTGCTTGAAGTCTGCTAATTCATTGTTCAGTTTGCAAGAGTAGGAGATGTAGTTTTCAAGTAGTAGCCACAGAAGATTGCAAGTTTTGAGGGAGGATTCACAATTTGGTAAGATTGGTTAAAATAACTAAAGACTAAGGCAACAGTCTGATACCTAGTTGCAATAAAGTTTTGTGGATTTTTTTTTTCCTTTGTGAAAACTGAGCAGAGGTCTTTTTCAGTGTAACACTGCTAATCCTGCCTTTTCTTAGTAGGACTTATATGTATTTGTGTTTTTTCATCGTGGCAACTCCCTGCTCCCTTGATACCATGTTCTGGACCTGGGAGCCTTCAGTGCAACAACTGTTAGCAGTCCTGAAGAAAGCAGGTTGCTGTCTACTCCTCCAGGTGTGTGCTGAATGCTTGGCCATGATTCCAGTCTGGGAAATGCCTTGAGAAATCTTCATCTCAGCTGTGTTAGCTAAGCAAGGTGAAGCAGGTGAAGTACAGGGTTTCCATGAGGAAGGCAGTGATTAATTCTGCATTCTGTTCTCCAGTCTGCAAAAGCACTGATACTGTGAGTGAGTGAGTGACCTGCCTGTCTGGGAGGAAGTGGTGCACTTGGTCTGAAAAGTCATTCGACAGAAAGTGATGCAGCTGCAGAGGCTGCCTCTGACACCTCTGCTACTGATGCAGGAAGTTAGCTTTGAACATTTCTGAAGGAGAAATGAACCATCACTTGTTCTAAATAATTGGTCACTGTTATCCAGCTCTGTAACTCTTGAATAGGAAAAAATAGGTACAATATTTTTATCATGTACCACTTGTGAGACAATGTTCCAAAGAAAGATGTGCTGCTCTCCTTTTAAACGTGAATATTCTCTGTGGAAGCCTCCTGCTGCCTGGGGTGCAGGTCTGCTTTGAAAGTTACACTGCTGGGCACTAAAGGGAACTGAGCGAAGCTCGCTCTTTGTGTTTCAGATTCTTTTGTCTCCAACAGGAAAGGCTGTAATTGGAATATAAATAAAACCATTTTTTCCCCTGAAATGAAATGTAGACAGCTTTGGCTATCTGGCAGTAATTCACTTTCTGAGTTTCCACCTGTAAGTGTTCTAACTCTTAACTGTTAAACAAGAACCTTTCCATTCAATTGAAATACACCTTGTATTCATGATTTCTTAACTTGCACTTTGAATACTTGTGACATTTGGGTTTTTTTTTTCCTTCTAATTACAGGTTCTAAAATTACACCTAGGAAAAGCAGTGAGTGTACTGTTGTTTTCTAAAATGAGGTCATTTTTTCTTGTTTTGGCTTAGAGTGCAGCTCCACAAACAGTTGCATCAGCACTACTGATGAGTAAACTAGCAAAATGGTAGAAACAATTGGATGAGAAAAAGGATAGGAATCACTTGGGCTTTGCTACTGGAAAAGATTGTAATGTAGAACCATTTATCATGTTAAACTGCAGTAATTTATTTAAATGTATCTAAATATTATTCATAGTTTCTGCATGATATTTTCATAGAAGTGATTTGTAAGAACAGATACCTTACATAAGTAAACTTGATTTTTTTTTTTTTCTGGAAGCAATTATTTATTTGTATGAGCTTATGGTGTTTTTAGAAACACTTTGAGAAGTGGTATGCTTTTTGATTAGACAAAACCTGAAGACTTCTAAGTGGGTTCTTCTTTAGTATTAGAAATGCAAACTGCATCTGGAAGACTCTAGAAGAGCAGTAACATACTAAATGTTGTAATAAGTTCTGTGGTCAGGAAAGAAAGGTATTTTTAAATTAATCAGTGGAGTAGACTATTTGGGATCAACTGGAGACAAGCTGCTGGCTGATCTCACTTGAAGGAAAAATTAGAATGTTATCAGAGCCAGTCTGTGGCAAGATTTGTCCCTTTAGACAGCTGCTAATTTCAATCACTTTGGGCCAAGTGCAGTTACACTTTCTTATGAGTCATTAGAATTAAAGGAATGTAATCTTAGAAGTCCTGATTTGTATTTGCAATCAATGACAGCTGTAATATTTATGTTAACATTACAGTTAATGCTGTGCTTCCTGGTATAAGAGCACTTCTCATATGTATTTGAGTCTCTTTTGTTTAGATGTAAAAATTCAGCACTTGCAAACACTTAAACAATGCTTGTGCTAGATTCCAAAAAAGTAGAACCAAATTCCTAAAATAATAAGACTTATTCCATATTAAAAACTTTTAAAACTTTTTATTTTTTCCCATTCCCATTTGCTTTTCTTTACATTTTAATTTTCAGGCATAGACAGCAAAGTAGTTGTGAGTTTACATCAGCTCAATAAATGAGGTATCCTTCACTACTACATTTCCCTCTTGTTGGCAATGTCAAGTTTTCTGAATACAGTTGTTAGAAGTAGGAGAGTAGGTTGTTTTTAGAAATTTGTTTGGGTCTAAATACCATGTATTAATTTAGTATCAAAGTAGCAATTTGTAAGGAGAATATTTTTCTCTTACAGTCATGAGCCACACTGCCAGCCAATGTTTCTTTAACCTGCTACATCTGAGTGTGTCTGGAGGGCTGGTGCATGTGGCTTTGATGACACAAAGTGTTGTAACCATTTGGGTGCATTCTGGGTGTGCTTTTATGAAGCAGAAACTTTTGTAGTAGACAGCACTGAAATTGCATCATGCAACTCGTAATTTCTGGGTAGTGTGTTCAGGAAGCAGTCCCTGTAACATAATGTAAAATAATGCTCTTCTGTCTGTTCAAGAGGCCAGGAGAAAGAGACTGCTGTTTCACTCCTTAAAAATACTGAGTGCCCTGGAGGTCACTTGGGTGCCTCAGGCGACTTGGCCTATAAAAATGAAGCCTTTTTTAAAAACACACCTAAAAATAGATTTGAAGTCTATTTTTAATCTCCTGGAAATCTGCTTTCTGATCTGTAATGTTAAATGAAACTTGCAGGATACTTGAGGGTTAGGATGTAGGATTCTCTACCTATTCACTGCTGCTTTTTGACTGGGGTTTTCCTGAGCTTGCCATGAAAGCATCTGTAAGGTTGATGAAGAGAAATGCACATTGGTTTAGCCTTTCCTGGGTTCCTGCTGTAAGAAAACGTGACCACTGCTTGTGCAGGGAGATAGATGAGACCAAGCTATCAGCTTGTGTTGGGTGCACAGCTTTTCCTTTCTCTGAAATCCAGGCAGCTGTGGGGCTGCTGCTGCTGTCACAGCTCTGGCTTTGAGTGCCCAGCCCTCAGCACTCTTAGGCTTGAGGAGAGGGCATCTCATCCTTCTGTGTTCTCTCCCCTGCCTCCTTATGAGCATGCAAAATGCAGCAGAACTGACACCCTTCTCCGCAAGGAAATGCTACTCAGTTGAAAGTGAGGATAATTTTCTGAGCTGTTTAGGGTTCTAAAGGTCTAGCATTGGATTAATGCTATGCTGGACTTGAAATAACTGGTCATATTAAAAGAGAAGGGAAGATACCTTCTGGTTTTACTCTACACTGTATTTCATGTTCTTTTCCTTCCATTTATCTTCCATCTTTTATTCATGCAGATGTGTTTAAAAATATATAATTTGTTGACTATTGCTTTGGGGATGTTGCCAGGTATGGCTGTGGATTTAGGGATTTGATCTATTTAAGTACTATTTAAATCAATTGAATGTAATGACTCCACTAGCTCTCAATGGAGATAAATTGAATTCTTTGCAGAGTTTGCAAGGGCTGCCAAAGGTATCTCAGTGTTGTAATTTCTGTATATTTGTGTATAATACTTGGGAGACAAAATATTATGATTTCAAAATATGAAATTCTTTTTTTTTCTTCTATCTGTTTAGTTAAAATATATAAGGTATCAACCATAGGAAACCCTGTTAAGAAAAAGCTGACACAGTCTAAAGTCCAGCTATTGCCAACATAATTTGCCCTCTGCACTGTACTTTACCGGTTTTAATTATGTGATAAGATTTAAAAACAGATATGCCTCACATTTTCTTCATCAACCACAGGTGATGTGTAATACTATTCTCTCTCTGTTTGACAGTACAAGAAAAGAATGTCCTTGCCTTTATTACAGTTTTAATGAATGCTAGGAAATTATAAACCATTTGCATTAGCTACTGTGAATTTAATGTGTCGTTGAGGTGTCAAGAGAGTTAGTTGGTCGACTCCAGTGCCTGTGAATTAAACAGTGATAATGAGACAATTGCTTAGAGTTAAGTTATGGTATTAATTATTTAGCTGACTTGTGATTAATATATTACTGAAAATAAAAAACTTTATACATTTGGAAACACAAGCTTTATGTCAGCTTCCAATTTACTAATACTGGCTAAAATAAATAATATAAATAATTTCCAAAAAAGAAAGTTTACATGTGATTTCATACTCTTTTTAGAATACTTTGAAGAAAAATAGTTTTTGATTGTACGTTTGTGTTGGAGGACTGGTACTATTGTAAATACAAGCAATTGTTAAATAGCTAATAGTCAATCCAAGAGGTTGTATAAATCCTGATGATGATGATGATTATTATTATCATTGCTATTATTTAATTGATTATATTATTTCATATGAATTGTTTGTAACTATAATCACTTTTAAAGAGTACTGTACACAGAAAAGAAAAACCAGGTTGGTTCCAAGTGAAACTGAGGATTGCATATGTGTGGAATACAGTGTGGGCAGAACTCACCTGACCTGGCACTGCAGAAGGTGGCATTGGACTGCAGTGTTTTGGTCTGTGTATGTGCAGCTACAGTTGTCCAACATACCTTTAATTGTAAAGTTTCCACTTTCAGTGGTGAGATTCCTGTTTCCACTGGAGCATAATTTCCAAATAGAACAAGAGGACATCTCCACAGGCACTCCAGATGTGTAATGTCCCTTATTCAGCAAATCAGATGAGCAGGTGTTGAAATGCTGGTTCTTTGAGCAGTCCCAGTGGAGTTATCACAGAAAAATGTGTATGTTTACAACAAAATAAAAGGAAATGGACAACAATGAAAAAGCTACAACCATGATGTTCTAATTTGTGTATGTCACAATGCAATTTTTCTGCAATTTATTCAGTTAGACAATCTATTTGGTGCAATTCACAAAGTGACTGTTCAAATCCACTTATCATGTTTGCATGATATATTTTCATGGTGAAACTCTTCCACCTTAGCTTTTTTAAATCAATCAATCAATCTATCTATCTATCTATCTATTTATCTATCTATCTATCTATCTATCTCTATATATCTCACATACAGAATTAGGATTAATTTTGTATTTTCTTTATTTTTAGGTATTCTTGGGTTTTGTAGTCAATATTTTTCTGGTATTTGTCTAATCAGTAAGGTATGGTGTTGAAAAGTGTCATTGGAAGTAGAAGCCTAAAAAAAATTCTTCACTTGATTTGAAAGGCAAGTTTTCTTTCTGTACATTAGCACTGCTGTATTTAATGTAGTTTCTTGTCTTTTTGTATGTTTTTACCAGGACTGCTGTCTTAAATCTTAGATTTGAAAGAACATTATAGAGCATTTTATCCTTCCTATGACTAGAATTGTACAAAGGAACATGTCTGTATGAATTAATATACAGAACAAGGCCTTGGGAGGGGAATTACTACAGCTTCTGATATCAGTGCTGACTAACAGTTAAACCCTAGGTAAGAATCTGTAATAGTGCCAATGCAAAATTAGAAAATAATCACAATATTAACAAGTAGCTGTGCTAAAAGTGGGGTTTTTGCTAGAATTCATAATTAGTAATAAAGGAATAATGAATAATACATTCTGGACCTCCTAAACTGACAAAATTAAGACATAAATTATATTTACTTTTGAAACAATATATGACACCACTTTAATATCTATCCCCAAATATGAAATTTAAAAGTTTTAATATTTAAGAATTATAGATTTTGAAATCACATTCTCTGAAAAAATTATAATTATTACAAATACTATTGACTGCTGCTTTTGAGAACTATGTGGAAAACAATTTCTTGCTTTCTTATTCAGTTTTTAAAATTTGATTTCTACAGCATTTAGACATATATAAAGTGAATATGGAGCAGGTTTTGTTGTTTCCTTGTGTCATCAAGCAATTTTCCTTCCTTGTTTCCTCAAGGCTTTCGCAGATCAAGAGAAGATAAAAAAAATCACTAAACATGATAGAAAGTTTTTGGAAAAATCTGAAAAAAAATTGATAGAGTATTCAGAGGGAATTATTGTCCGAAGAAGCTACTTGACCTGTTCAGGCTAACACATCTGCCATTAAAATATCCTTACCAACCATTCTTTCCCTGCTGTGGTGTGTGCTGAAGGAGGCACAGTGACACGCTGTGCAGCTGCTGTGGTTGTGCCAAAGTTCAGACTGAGCTAAGCGAGGCTTAGAAGCTATCTTTAGCATACAGATGAGTGATGCCATCCAAAGCACGTGCTCTCTCTTTTTACCTGAAAGTCTGATGCTATCACAAAAAACAAAATACCTTGTATCAACAAGCACTTGTTCTGCACTTGAATTATGCTGATTTTAATTACCAGACAGAATGTTAAAACCCAGATTGCTTTCTGACCCTCTGTATGTTGAATTATTGGGAAACATTTTGTTTGATTTTAGGACTGCTTGGCACTAATTTTATTCTTTCCAATTGTATGCCATTACAAAGTACATATTTTTTAATTTTCTGCTGTTCTGACATTATCAAATTCTAGTCACTACCCTGTTCTCTTGTTGCTAAGAGCCTCAGTTCACAAAGCAAAAGGAAATATGTGCTTGTGAAGAAAAGAATCGGGTTTTCAGAATTCCTCCTGCTGTTTGTGGTGTGCTTCATGTTGGAGATTAGGGAACCAAGAAGTTTTCTAAAATCTCAGAGCTCTCTGGCTTAATCCTTTGGGAATGAAACACTTTCTCTAGACCTTTCTGGTTTGCAGATCCCAAAGATGCACCCAGTAGCTTTGTTTACTGAAGAGCCAAGGAGATATTTAACAAAGCTGCAGTACTGCCTCCATTATACTCCTTTGTGCAGGCACATCAGAGGGAAGAAAATGCATGGAGGAATGTGAGGTGGACACTGAAGGAAGCCGGGGAGGATAACTGTGGGGAGGAAGAAAATAAAGTGACATAAAAGGAAAACGTGATAGTAAAAATAGAATATAAAGTAGAAGAGGGGGAAAAAAAGGGGAGACAGTGACCTGGAAAAGAAAGAGAGATGGTGTTCCTGTGAATTCTGTGAATAATACTCAGCACATCTGTCTTAATGTGATTTGACATCTTGTCATAATGCTGACATGGTGCATCCATGTAGGGGCTTCTAGTGCAGCATGGTAAGCTCACAATGTCCTTCTTTTAGAGGTCCTCAGTAGCTTCTGGACAGTTATAATCAGGACAATAATACCAATTCAGAGGGTAATGCTGCAGGTGAGGTGTAAATAGATGAAAGAGACAGTGTGTGGTGAGAGACACAAATGGAGAAGACAGAAAAACTGGAAGAAAACTGAAGAAGGGACAGGAAGAGGTTGGTGAACAGACAGCTTTCCAGAAACAAGCCTTTGTTCTCTTACGGACAGTAAATACTACTGGCAGAAATGCTCTCAAGTGGGAGGTGACAGGAGCTGGGAAAGTTCAACTCGCTGACCTCAGATGAAAAATGGAGCGTGTGTTTAGAGGGAGTAAACTAAAGCAGGGAAAGTGAAGGTATGTTACTACCTAAAAATGTGGTAGGATATGTTACAGTGACCTGTGCTGGAAAGGTCTGACCCTCGTTCTGCAGCACTCCTCTGGTAGGTGTAGCACAGTGTGCATCAACTCACAAAATGTGTCTGCTGTTTGGAAAGCCAAGATAACACTTTGCCTTCAGGGAAGCATACAGCTCAGCCACTGTTAACTGGGTACCCGCATGGTGTTAAAAAAAGCCCAAAGCATACAGATTTGTTCTTTGGTCTATGCAAATTGTTTTTTGGAGAGAGATTTTTTTAGAAATGGAGTAATTTTTTTTTGTTTCCATTCACCATTTTCCTGCTATTTTTCAGGGTTTTTTTAAAAACCAAAATCAAATTCAGTTCCTTTCTTTTCAGTCTCCTCTATTCAGACTTGGGATTTCTGAATTAAATGCTGTAATATTATCTGCCTGCAGTTCCTCTGATTGGACTCCATGGGTGGCCCAAGTAATTTTCAGGCAATGGAGCTGGTTCTTTTCTCACTCACACTGCTATAACTCATTGGCTTCAGTGAAGTTACTCTTGATTCACGGTGTTGTGAAAGAAGAACTGTGCTTGGTCTTTCATATGTTCTTTAATCTCCATGATATTTTTGTTTACATGTATAATTGATTTCCTGGGAATATGTCCTGCTGCTGACAGGTAGACCTAGGAACTTCCTAAGACAGAAATAAATGTAAGCATTTTTTAGGTCACTGAATTCAATCCACTGCTTCTATAACACTATGTTATATAATTTCTTTCATAAACTGCTCAGGCTTTAAACATTCATTAAGATCTATTCTTACTACAGTGGGTAAATTCAGACAGAAATGTTAGTTACATCCTGTATAAATTTAAAACTATAACTGAAATAATCTTCAAATGCTCTAAAAGTATTTTTCTTTCTCACCTATGTCTCACTTTTCAATACAGCAACCATGATAAAGGCTTCATTCTTGGCAGAAGGAGGCTCAGCTCTGGGAAAACACAATTCTGAAATTACAGGCATACTTTGGAAAGGTTACTGTGTACTTTTCTTTCATGGTCACATCCCTCTTGCAGATTTTAGTGGGAGCAGTCATCTGACAACAAATTTTTACCGTACTTGAAGTGCCACTCTGAAAGTTAATTCCAGAAGGAGAAGGGTATGGAACAGGTGTGTACAACTCAGCTGAGGGTAGATTACTGCAGACTTTGACTACTTATCTTGGGCTGCCTTCCATTTACTACCCTGTTGTAACAAATCCCATCCATTTTATCCAAATTTGCTCTTCATTTATGGAATTAATGGGTTTAATTGACATGAAGTTGAAAATCATCAATATAATCAAGAAGTTGTAATTAAAGAATAGGTGAAAAGCACAGCCCTATTTTTCTCTTACGTAGTACAAATAAGATGATTCAGCAGAAGCCAATAGAATTATGCTGCTACCTGCAAATGCTACAGTGATACCTCCCTGTCCTCCCTACCTTTGCTATGCATATGTGTTGATCTGGAATACACTGCTATTTTTTGCCTTGTGTTGCTAAATCTCTGTTCTGCAGCTCACCTGAGCAGGCCATTGCTAGTACTCCCTTTCTGTTCTTAAGCTTCACTTCAGAAGCTGCCGCTGTTACCGAGGAAAGTTCTTGGCAATTGCTATTTAGCAGGGGAAACTGGTTTGCAGCAGCTGGAAGGTGGTGGCTGCACACCACAAGGGAGGGAGGAAGAGGTGTATTAGTTGTGAAAGCCAATGTACAGCAGCCAGTTGGCTGGGATACTGCTCTGGTGGCTCTTTATCCCACCCTTTGGCTACTCTATTTCTGATACAAATAAAGGTGCTCCAGTTGCATCATGTGAGTACAGAAAGCCTTGTACTTGCTGGAAATGCTCAAAGTAACTGTGTGGTCTGTTCATGCAACACTTTGTAGGAGTAGCAGAGCACTCCCTTAGTTTTGTTGGCATTACACTGCCTATAGAATATGGGCCTATGGTGTTTGCTCTGAGGTCTCTGGGATTGCTGGACATGGGACATCCAAGGTTGAGACTGCTTGCTGCACGTATGCAATAACATGATGAGATGATTAGATACCAAGAATCCTAGACATACACATTCAAAATCCTAAACATACACAGTTCTCGGAATCTCCCTGGGAAACAATTCTGGTTGGAAAAAAGGACAGACAACCAATCTAAGGCAACCTGGATATGGTAGCTATATCTAACCATGTCTACAGGTCTCCCTTCTAGTGCAATGCCTTTGTGCTTCCCCATAGCTAGTTCTTTATTTGCAAACTTTCTTTGTCAAACGTGTGTGAGGTGCCCTGCTGTATGCTCATGTGGAGAGCAGTTGCCAGTCAGGAATCCTCAGTGCCTCACCATTCTCACCTTTAAAGTCAGCAGCTCTCAACCCAGCACGTGTTACTGGGCTGTTGAAAGAGGCCATTGCCTCTGGTCACGATCTGCTGCGTGCTCAACAACGTGCTGATCTCAGGCCAAGAAGAGAGCAGCGAGGCAGGACAAACTCGTTTCTTTCACCCACACAGCACACCGGGCCAGAGGAATTCTTTGGTAGGCTGTGTGTTACACAGAGAGTCTGGGGAGAGTCTGGTTTGTCTTCTAGATGCTTCTTAACCTGTAAGTGCATAATGGGGATGGGTCGTTTTGAGGCTTAGAGCTCTGATAAGGGGTTTTGGCAGAGTTACACATTCAGTTTAAGACATTACCACTCTCAAGTGTCTATTTTACTCTGCTGTTAGGTATTACTACACTCTTACGGTGTAGACTCCAGGTTACAGGCTGGCATGTTAAAATAATACCTACTTTAATTGTTTTACTCTCCTAGAATGATTATGACCTCAGGCAGTTGAGAGAAATCAAATCTTAAAACACAGCAGCTAAATATGCCAGAGCTTGTTGCCCAGAGCCTTTGGCCTTTGCTTCTTAACCATGAGAGAAAAGAGTCCTTGCCAGTACCTGCAGGCCTGAGGACAACCATTCATGCCTTTACTTCCACTGCAGGTCCTCTGTCACCCCAGAAGTCCACTGCTTGTCCATATGGAGTACTGGTGTCACTGCAGTTACAACTTAAAAGAGGTATATGTAAAGAAACTTTGAAGTCACTGATACTGTATTAAGCAAAAAGTGAGGGCTGTTCTTTGGAAGGTGAGTTAATGAAGAAAAAATTATCTTGGAATTTTTATAGTTTATGTGATCTTAAAAGTGGTTTATGATCCTACCATGGAGTTCTTAGTTTCGTGGCTATTCTGATTCACTAAAAAATGCAGATGTAGTAGAAAATAGGTTGAAATATTCATTTATATAAAGAATGATATGACATCAGAGTAAAACATGAGGCTTTAATCTTAATTTCACTAAGAAATTAAGTGAAATTATGGCATTGCTGTCTTTTTTTGTCCATCTGTTTTTGAAATGGAAGGAGACTGGAAGCAAGAACGGGATCCCCTTCACTTGTCTGAGGATGCCTCATAAAATTTTGTTAACAAAAATCAATTCAAAAGTTGATCAATCATAAGACACAAGTCTACAAGAAATCAAACTTTAGTAGTTCCGATGTTTACATAAACACCTGGTAGTTGCTTCATGCCCAGCCATGGATTATGCCAAGCTGGCTGGAAACAGTTAGAGATGCTGGCAGCGTGCCCTGCCCACCTCCCACAGGTTCCCACTTTTGCAGCAGGAATGGCTCAATGCCTCATTAATGAGCTCCTGGGTTTCTGCATTTTGCAGATTGGCACATTAAGGCAAGCCAACATCAGTTTCTATTCAGGCTTAAGCCACAGCATTCCTGCTGTGGGAGATGTCTTGCAAGAGAGATTAGTGTACATATTGGGGTAGATGACTTGTCAGCTGCAGCTTAAACTATAGGGTGAGATGTATATTAGTATCTTCATCATTATTTCGTTAGAGGATAATTTTTAATTTATTAATCAGAAATCATTAATGGAAATGTTGAGGCGGTTTAGGATGTGGATGATAGCAGAAGAATGCCAAGAGGAACGGTCGTGACCATTACATTTTCTAGTTGGTGAAAAACTACATCTATCTATCATATTTAATTTTGTCAGCATAAGTTTGCTTCTGTTTTTCAACACAACAGCTCAAAATATAAAATAAAAAAATTTCATACATCACAGCATTGAACGTAGCAAATAGCAAGTATCGGCAATACCTGTTCTCTCTATGATGGGTGTGTTTTCCATGGCTCAGCGCTGTACAGTGCTCCCAAGGAGTGCGTACATGAATTCCTGGGACACGAACGCTCACGTCAGCATTTTTCCACTGACATATTTCAGACAACCGGGCTGTGTAAGTGAAAGACACAATGACTAAAATGTCGTTGGAAGGTGACTGACTGGCCTTTATCCTGCCCCAGCACAAACACCACGAACATTCATCCAGCAGCGTTCGTGGTCCCCGCGCCCACGGTGGCGGCGGTGGCAGCCGGGGCGGCCGGCGGGGCTGGCTGCCCGCGCGGGCGGGGCCGGCCGCGCTGTCACGGGCAGCGCTCGGGGCGCGCGGAGGAGCGCCGGGCCGGGCCGGGCCGGGCCGGGCCGGGCCGGGCCGGGCCGGGGCTCCCGCGGCTCCCGAGCCCGCTCCGCGCGGCCCCTCGCGGGGGCGGCGGCTCCAGCGCGGGGCGGGCCGGGGGAGGGGCCGGGGGAGCCGCGGCCCCTCGGAGGCGGCGAGCGGAGCCCGGCGGCAGGTGGCGGCTCGGCCCCTTTAAGGCTACGGCTGCCGCAACCCGATCCCCGCCGGAGCATCCTGCGCCCGGGAAGGGCTGTCCCGTCCCCGACGCCGCGGGGAAGGCATGGAGAAGGAGGAGGCGGCGCCGCAGCCCCCGTAACCCCGCTCCCAGGTGCGGCGGGCGGGGAAGGAAGGCGGCAGGGCGCTGGGGCCGGGGCTGGCGGGGCGGGGGCGGTGCGGCCCCTTTCCCCCGCCCCGCGGGGCTGCGCGGAGCGGCCCCTTCCCCCTCCCTCAGCGCGGGGCGGCCCGAGGGCCGCGAGCCGCAGGCGGCGGCGCGGGGCGCGCTGACAGCGCAGGGCTGCGCGGGGCCGCCTCCTCCCGCCGCAGCGAGCGCGGAGGGTGCGCGCTGCCTGCGCTGCTGCGCTCGGCTGCCGCTCCTGCCCCCGCCCCGCGCTGCTGCGCTCGGCTGCCGCTCCTGCCCCTGCCCGCCCCTGCCCGCTCGGGCCGCTGCGAGCGGCGGCGCCGCGGGTGCCCGGCACGGCGAGGTAATGCCCGGCTCGGGGCAGCGTCCCTCGGGGCCAGCCCGGGGCCCTCCGCGCCCACCGAGCCTGGGCGGGTTCCCTCTCAGGGGCTTTGCGACTCCGGGCTGCTTGCGGGGTTTGAGGAATTTCGGTAAATGGTTTGGCAGCGGCCAGCTCATCCTGAGTACACTGCCTTTATACGAATGCTTTATCTGCCGGTTGCTTTGATGTTTTAAGAGCAGAAAGCTGAGTGGAGTTTAGGGTGTGAATAGCCTTAAACAGAAAAGGGAACGGCTTAAGTGTGAGTAGCTTGAATTTTGTTGTGTTTCTCCTTAACGTTGCTTACTGAGCTAAATGAGATCTCAAACGAATAGGATCTACCATTCAGAACCAAGAGCACAGCAAAGCTCCAGCACTGCTTTTGTTACTGGGCTTATTATAAAATGTGGAAACAGTCAGTAGTCCAGTTGCTCTCTGCAGATTGCTCTGACAAGTTTTACAGCTGTTGGATTTGGCTTTCAGTTTTAAGCGGATCAGGAGAGCGCATTATTTCATGTGATGTCCTCGTATCAATAGCAGCTTTACGGTGTAATCTTGTTTGGAAATTGATCCAACTCATCTGGAAATCCAGCCTCGAAGAAAGTAAGAGCTGTGGGCCTTAAACCTTCCACTGCACCTTCTTACCATGTCTTGTTGCTACACTGTTAAATTTCTTATTTTTGTGATGTAGAAAGAGTAAGAGGAGGAGAACTTAAATGCTAAATACTTTTGATAGTACAACAGTTGATAACTTTCCTGCTCCTTTATCCTCTTTCATTAAGTGCCAACTTGTTTCTGTCAGGAGTTTATAGTGTTATACTGGGGGTGAATGGATATTGTTTTCTAAATTTCAAGTAGAAACAGAATTGCAGGAAAACCACTGCATGCTAATAGTAAATGAAAACCAAGATATTTTTAGCTGTTACAGAGTATGATGAAAAAACCTGTGTTACTAACCTTTTCAAAGTCATTGGGTCAGTAGAATAATTTGAAATCACACTAGGCATGTACAGCAATACCTTGCTGAAAAATGTTAGTTTTAAGTGTTTGGTAATATTTATTTACCTAAAGACTCCATTGAAAAGCTACAAGAGTGATGTTCTGATCATATGCAATTACTGTCTAACCAAATGTTTAAGACAGTAATTTTGGGTAAGAAGGCAAATATCTTTGGATGGAGAACCAACCTGTGTATTGTGTTGTTTATCCTGCATTACAAAGTAGTTACACTATACCTCCTCCTCAGCCAGCCTCTCATTAGCTCAAACCCCGTATCAGCTGACAGAACAGTAATCAATGACTATGCAGTTTGGGTGATAAAGTGTCTGCTCATACATAATCCACAAAGTTCTGTATCTTGATCAGACTTTGCTGTACAGATACAAGAAGATACTTGTAAAAAAACCCCACAGTGTAGTTGAAGCTTCCTGGCTTACTAACTTTGGACTTTGTCAAGGAAAATTGTAATCAAGCTAATTGTGCTTGTTCTAAATCATCAAGCACAATGCAACAAGCTGTTTAGGTTCATACAACATGAATAATTTTTCTTGTAAATGAAAAGCTGGTAAAAACCAGAAAATTTTCATGTTAAACAGGATACAGTTGAAAACAACCTGGAAATATGAGAAAAGAACAACCTATACATATGGGACAATGTTTATAGTCGAACACATGTGAAATGCTGTATTTACACCAGATCCTTGAATTAAATTAAATTATGAGACTGTTAATTGCTGAGGTAAAACATAAAATTATTCTGGACTTGGTAGTTACCATACTTAAACAGCATCTTGATAAGCATATATGAAACCCAGCTTGCAAAACTTGAGCATCTGTGAGACCAACTAGAGAGAATAAGTGATTAATTTTTTTGTCTGCCTCTCTTCTTTAAAATCATTGTACCATTCTCCTTCATGGGCATCATGGTTCTGCATTTGTTGAAAGTCATTTCATGCACTTTCCATGCAAGTACCTTTTTTAAAAATTAGTTCCCTCCACAGGCTGCTTAGGTGAAAGATTAGTTTTCTAATGCATTTATTTCAAGGGATGTTTTCACAGTTGTTTAATTCCATAATCTGTACTAAAATGAGCACCTGTCAAAAACTGAAACATTACTTACCTAATATAATCTTCTGGTACTAAGTAAACAAAACAAAACATGGTTTTCTCTTGTCCAAAAGATTATGTCAGTGTCTTTGAAACTCAGAGATACTAGTATAGTAGTTGCAGGTGAATAAAATGCAGCATCATGAGAATTGCTATATTTTAGTCAAAAGGATGAAATAGGTGTGGTTAATGCTCAGTGGTTTTGCTAATTTTCTGCAGATATTTGTACTTAACCTGGATTTTGGCTTCCTTCATTAATTAAACCAAGTGATTTCTTTTTTCCCCTTACATGGTCCAAGAGGAGACTTGATTGCTACAAATGAGATAATGTAATAACAACATTTTGTCCTCGGGGTTAGAATCTGGAACTGGACACTATACAGTACTTCTCAGTGGGTTTAAACTGGTAGATACTAAATAGCTTTATTTCTTCAAATGGTAAGGTTTTAGAAAATTGAGCTTAACACCCATTATCTCTGGTACTTTACACTATGTGAAAAGGATATAAAGTTCAGTTTGTGTTTTATGTCTTCTTGGTCAGTGGAGGCAAATGGAGAAGTGTGTGAGGAATTGAGAATACTGAATATTCAGGATTGTAATTGAAATTGGAAGTTCTGATAGAGTAATGTTAAAAAGTATGCAGGATTTATATGCTGCTGCACTAGAACAGGTCATCAGAAAACAACTGGAATTGATTAGTTTGATGCAATGCACTGCAGTATGTGTACATAAAAATTTTAGTTTGGATTAAAAATGCATTTATGAACTGAATCAGCCCCTGTTATTTGTATTGTTTAGCTGTCCCAGAGCATGCAAGCTGGCTTCCTTTTGGGTTCAACTGGGCAGGAAGATAGGCCCTATGAGCACATCAAATATGTTCCAAGAATTGTGGAGTCCCTAGGACAGAATTAAAGCTGGTCTGAAGTAAGCCCTTGAACTCTACATGATAGAGGCAGATTTCACTCAGCAAATCTCTTCTTGTCCTGCGTTCTGATTTTATACATGTAGCTCTGTGGGTAGTAGTCAGAGGAAGTTTTATTGCCTTCAGTTCTGGGAGAATAAATAGAAAAGAAAGAGGTAGAGGTGGAAAACTTTGAAACCATTGAACCTTCTGCTTCTAAATCTTTGAAGATGAAAGTATGTTTTTTCTGATCTAGATGTTTCAATACACTCACCATTTATACCCCAAGGTGAGAATATTGTACTTAATTTTAAAAAAGTTACTATTTTGTTATTATGGTGGACTTTTTCCTCTATTTTTATTTCCTGAGGTTCAAGTTTCTTGCCATTTACAATGCAGATACTATTTCAAAAATCTGAATCAAAATCATAAAGGCATGTTTACTCTTTCTGTAATGCACATGAAATAAAGGTTGACATAAATGTATTATGTCATTGTATTGCTTTTGCTGACCATTAGGATGCTGGAGTAACATCAAATTATGCTGTCCTAAAAGTCTTTGTTTCATTTTTAGATACTTTCTTAAGTAGATCTAAAACAAGTAACAGCAGGCTTTTTATAGGTATTAAAATAATTATTTAAATATTTGAAATTAAGCTGTTTGGGTTTTTTTCCCCCTTTCCTGTTCAACTTAATTGACATTGACATTTTTTGAGTTTGTAACTTTTGCCTGTCTTGGAGTGTAAACCGCTTCACTGTCAAATTGGAAATGCATGTCAGAAGTTTGTGGCTTCTGATAAAATATCATTCTGTGTTGCCAATATTGGCAACTCAGGAAAAACGACTGAAGCATTTAGAGACTGACACTTATGTTTGGAATTGTTTTGGTATTTAAGCCTCATGAAATAGCTGAACATCCAGCAACTGAGAAGCCAATCGGCTCTGATGGCAGAGGCTTTCCAGGGAGTGGGAATGCCGGAGGTCAGAGCTCTGTGGAGGAAGGAAGCTCCAGTG